TCATTTATGCTGCGCCGTCTTCTTCCGGTTTTCGTTGAGCAGTCTAAGTAAGACGTTTTTTCTCGTGCGACTGGGTCGCAGTCCATCAACATTTTCCTCCCAACAGCGTCTGGGACGCTCACTGGTTCCGTGGTGCAAAGGCGCAACGATGTATGTGTTTTTCTTATTTGTAGAGTTTGTTTGTATATGTGTAAAATTATTTTCTATCATTTTTCGGAAAACTTTACTAGGATTTTTGGCATAGTGTGTAAGATATTGTATGTGTGTGAATTCTAAATTTTCTAAATTATAAGTCAAAATATTGTTTTGTTATTTCAGTTGTTACCGTAATACGTCATAATACGTCATGCTACAAGTTTAATAAAGTATGAAAACTGCTGGGTGTTTTTCTTCCAATCCTGTGGCAGAACAGTAACAAATCGTTTATTTACCACCTCAACCATCCTGATTGTAACCTATCCTGACGATGGACGACTCTTCGATGGATGTCAGATGCCTGTGAAGCTGGGACTTCCAACTGACTACCCCCAAATCTGTGCTGGTGGATCGTCGTGGTATTTCTAGTGTTCCAGGACACTGTGTGTACATACGTGCAAAACACTGATCTCATTTGTGCCATATCAGTAACTTTATAAATAACATTATGCTGACATTGGTTAAAATGAACAATAATACAGTTAATATAAATTGATCATGCTCAGTATCGACACCATATACATGTATTATTGTGAAACATTTTTTTGTGATCTGTTGGTGTCAGATATTTTTTCAATAGCATATTATTTTGGTCAATGCATTGGTACTTTGAAAGAAATGTTATTGATTTATATTTAATATTATCAGTTTGAATGCTGAAGGAAAACCCATAGTCGGTGCGAGCGAAAGCGAGAAAGAGCCACTTTTTACAGAGGAATATGCTGAAGGAAAACCCACAGTCCATACGAGCAAAAGTGAAAAAGAGACACTTCTTACAGAGGAAGGTGAGGAAAAAAAGACTCAAAACAAGGACAGAAAAAGGCATGGAACATTTTTTTTTTACATTTCTTAAGAGATATAGTACTCAGGAACAAAAGGCATGGTCAATGATTGAAGAAGTGTTAGTCGACATAGATGAATATATAGATCAGAAAAAATTCAAAGACTTACGTAAACTTAAATCAGAAGTTTAGGAACTTAAACATACTTCTTCTGATTGTGGAAATGACTTTATATCTTTTCTTAAAAGAACAAACACAAGAGAAAGCTTTGAAGAATATTCTGTCCAAGAACCCAGGTTCCAGAAACGTTCTCAAGTCATAGATCAACTCATTAACCGAATCGAGGATGCCCTGCTGGATGCAGGGGATACCATATCGAGGGCAAGTGGTTCCGAAGGATCTCGATCTCAAACTAGAAGTTCTGTCAGCGGAACATCAAAGTCTCAACGTGTTCAGTTACGTCAGAGGGCAGAAGCAGAAAAAACTAAATTAGCGTTTATAAGAAAACAAGTGGACCTCCAAACAGAGAAGTCAAAAATCAAAGGACAAATTCAAATTCTGGATCAAACGTGTACAGCAGCAATTGCGGATGCGGAAGCTAGAGTGCTTGAGGAAGTAGAAACTGAAAGTAAAAGTGTACGGAATTCAATCTTAGATGAATTACCGAGTGATAATAGACAGCGAGTTGCGGACTTTGTAGCTAGTGTTTCTCAGGAACAAGACTCTAGTGTTGGAACACATGTGAACCCCAAATTTGTTCACCCAAAGGAGGCTTTCAATAATCAACCAAAGGAGGATTCGATGGAATCGGTCACTAAATTTCTGTTAAGGAAGGAAGTTTTGTTGTCGCGGTTTAAAAACTTCAATGATGAACCAGAAGCTTACAACGCATGGAAGTTACACTTCACTTCGATTGTAAAAGACTTGAACATTTCAGACTTTGAGGAACTTTAGTTACTCGTACGATAGTTAGGACCAGAGTCCTTCAAACACGCAGCAGATATACATCAAGCAAATGCTGAAAATCCTCGCGAGGGACTACATCAAATATGGTCAAGATTAGATGGAAGGTATAGGGCTATCGAACTCATTGATGATTCATTGAGATCGAAGGTAGCTGCTTTACCACAACTCTCGACAAAAGATCCGAAAGAACTTTACAAACTGTCTGATCTACTGACACAAGTTGATGGTGTGAAAAAGAACCCTAAATATTCAGCAGCATTATCTTACTATGACAACTCTCTTGGAATTGCACCGATAGTAAGCAAACTTCCTTATCAGTGGAGAGAGAAGTGGATATCCAAGGCTTCAGAGTACAAGGAGCGTTATAGTGTTCCATACCCATAATTTACTTTCTTTGTGAAATTCGTTCAAAACTTATGTCGTGTGAGAAATGATCCTGGATCACAGTTCAGTGAACCTACAAAGAAAGACATAAAACCCAAAAACGCAGGACCTATACGTTCAAGAAAAACTGATGTTAAGCCTAGCAAGTCAACAGGACAAAGAAAACCATGTCTTTTAGAACACAGAGTTGAATCAAATCATAATATCAAAGACTGTCGTAAGTTTCGAACCCTTCCTATTGGTTCGAGGAAAAAGCTTCTCAAGGAAAATGGAATTTGTTTCAGATGTTGTGATTCCAAGGAACACTTAGCGCGAGACTGTAACGTGAAGCTTAAGTGTGACGTGTGTCAAAGTGACAAACATTGTGGTGCCTTACATGTTAACAGTTCCCAGGGTAGGGAGGATAAGGAGAATTCACATGGTGGAGAGAACAGTATACCATCATCTTTTACAACAAACTGTACTCAAGTCTGTTCTGCTGCATTCAGTGGGAAATCCTGTGCAAAGATTATCTTAGTGAACATTTTTCGAGTTGGTCGAGAAGATCTAAAGAAAAGAGCGTATGTGATCCTTGACGATCAAAGCAGCAAGACACTCGCAAAGTCATCATTTTTTGACAACTTTGGAATCCAGGGACAAGATATTTCATATACATTGTCATCATTCAGTGGTTCAGCCATGGTCTCAGGGAGACAGGCCTTTGATTACGTGGTATCTTCAATACACAGTGGTGAACAGATATACTTACCATCAATCATTGAATGTGATGACATCCCAATATCATACGAGGAGATCCCAACCCCAGCTGTAGTGAAACCATACAAATATTTATCAGACTTGGAGTCTGAGATCCCACCAATAGACGATGAAGCGGAAGTGCTTCTTATTGGACGTGATGTTCCAAATGCTCATCATGTGTTGGAGCAAAGGATTGGTAATCCAAATCTACCTTTCGCACAGCGACTTCCTTTAGGCTGGGCCGTTATAAGGGAATGTTGCCTAAGAAAAGTACACAGACCTCAACATGTGGTTGTGAACAAGACTCAAATTTTACCGTCTGGACGGGGAACTCACTTTATCCCATGCTCATCAAATCAAAGAATCTCAACGTATGAAGATGATATAGACAATCATTTTTCAAATGAGAAGGGAATTCAGCTTTCCCCGATTTTTGAACGCACCAAAGACGATAACATTCCGGGAATGTCAATCGAGGACAGGGAATTCTTAGAAATCATGGAGAAAAAGTGTCATAAAGACGAGACCGGACATTGGTCATCTCCTATACCGTTAAAGTCGAACAGAGATAGACTACCTAACAACAACGAGCAAGCGTTGAAAAGGACATATTCATTGCTGACATCTTTTAATCAGGATCCTGTGAAAATGAACTTGGCCATAAAGTTTATGGAAAATCTGTTTACTCATGGATTTGCAGAGGAAGCACCAGAGGTTCAGGAGGGAGAAGAATGTTGGTATCTTCCTATCTTTCCAGTATTCCATCCTAAAAAGCCTAACAAGATCCGTGTGGTTTTTGACTCTTCGGCTATTTATCAAGGACATTCACTGAACTCTACCTTGCTGCAAGGACCGGATCTTACTAACAATCTACTAGGTGTCCTTTTACGTTTTCGCAAGGAACGTGTAGCCATCACAGGAGATATAGAACAGATGTTTCATATGTTTGACATCGACAAAGAACACAGAAATTTCGTTCGTTTCATTTGGTTCAGAGACAATAATCCTGCTAAGCCTTTTCAATACTACAGAATGTGTGTACATGTACATCTATTCGGGAATTCACCATCACCCTCTGTCGCCACATACTGTCTTCACAGATGTGTAGAGGAACCTTGTGATAATGATGTGAAATATTATGTAACAAGAAACTTTTATGTCGACGACGGACTGTCATCTTATGACACAGACAATGAAGCTTTAGAAATCCTGTTACGAACACAGCAGATTCTAAGAGATAGAGGAAAAATTGGAATTCACAAATTTGCTTCCAACAGCCAAATTGTCATGGATTCTTTACCACCATAGGACAGAGCAGAGGAAGATTTGAGTGATGTACATTTAGATCTACATACAACGCCTGCACAGAGTAGTTTGGGTCTAAGTTGGAATTTATCACTGGACGTATTTACCTTTCCAACAGATATCAAAGATTTGCCAGAAACTAAATGAGGTTTGTTATCTTGTTAAATAGGTGCCGCCGAAGGCGGTGTACAGTATATAGACGATCGAGTGAGCGATCGACAAAATCGAAAAAGAAGCCACAAATTGCAAATTTGACCCCAATTTCGTGTTCCTTGTGAAAAATTGGGTTTAAAAAACTGGTGTTTAAACACAGTTTTTTAAATGAGAATTAAAAGATTTCGTAAAATAATGTACTTGTTTAGGAAGTAAATCTCCATCTTGCGTTGTTTAGGAATGTAGTCACATGATCAATTTTTGACGTAATCTCATGAATATTCATGAGATGCGTCACTTGTGTTTTGACGTAATGAAGAAATGCCTGATAGGACTCAAAGTGCAATGCTATTAGAATTGCGTGATTTTTGTGAGAAATACAGGGATTTAACAAATGTTAGCTAATTACTAGTCATCGATGGATTGAATTGTGCATCATTATCGATTTGAAAGGAAAAATATTCTGAATATTTGGATATGATTAGGAGGTCAGGATATCGAGCTGCAGTTAACGGTAAGTCGCTTTTACAATAACTTGCCTAAACTCAGCGCAGAAAATCGTTATGTTTCGACAATAGAGTCGATTTACCCGAAGTTTCATTTCTTAAACTTTCCTTTGAAAGCAAAAATTTCAGGAACTAAACCAAAGTGTAAGATATCGGCACGATTCGACAGACTGATTCATGCAAGTTTTTGGTCACAAAAGGCGCTCATAGTGCAAAAATAACACAAATTAGCCCAAAGTCAGAAAGATTACAGAGTGGATTTATAAAACAACCCCAATTTTAAAAACTATATAACCTAACCCTAATCACTCGATCGGATGCGTTTTGTTAAAGCGAGTGGGAAATTGCGGTTTGTTTACATTCTGCATAGCAACGGCAAGGGAAATGACTGCTCATGCGCAATCGCGTGATTCTGGGGACCGGCATACTAGAAACTTCCCGAGATTTTTGACAAGTCAAATAAAAAAGGGAGTTTTAAATAAATAGTCTTATTAGTAATATGTGAGATAAATTTTCAAATGATAGCTTAACTGAATAGCATCTGAAAGGGCCCGGTGCCAGAAAATGCATGTGTCAGAAAGGGACCGTTTCTTTAACAAAAAAATCAAGACCCACTTTTATTAAAATTACTGCAATGCTTCATGCTTCATAAGCATTGCTGGGTTTCTTATATTCACAAAAATACATCAATATTCAATTTATAATATAAACGATTTAACGCAAAAATCTACATTTAAAGGGGCCTTCGTCTGCGCGATGGATTTTAGATCAAATTAAAACGTTTCATGAGCTTAATTGGTAAATGCATGGCAATAAACAATAGCTTACTAAGGAATATCAATATCGCTGATATTCCGTGGAAGCAAAATTATATTCACTAACCCTTTCTTTTCTCAAAATGAACTCATTTTTGTCGAAGACTCCATTGTTGTTTTGAAAATTTAGCAGAAAGTATCCGTTAATTCTGCTGAAAGGGTCCGTTTCAGCGGAAAGGGTCCATTATGCCTATACACCGTGTAGGAGAGAGCTATATATGCGGATTTCAGACCGTGGCTGGAGACGATGAGTGGCCCAAGGCTCAGTGGTTCCTTTGGGGTGGGGTGCATAACTGGTTATAAAGTGGAAGTGCATTTTCTGTTTATTACTCTGATAGACCTCTTGTTATTATATATACAAGTAATTAGAGTAAGCATGCAAAGTCTATCATTATGAGAATGGTGCCCCTTTCAAAATTGTGAGTTTTATGACCTCTGGTTTAAAACACGAACCAAATTCAATTGTTTGAAAGTTGTTGCATGATACTCAGGTGACCTATAAGGCCCGTGGGCCTCTTGATTAAATTTTATGAGATATAAGCAAGGATAAAATATGATTGAATTTTGCAATTAATTGAGGATTAAATGAAATTTTTAAGGTGCGTGAAAATCTTTAATTGTGGGGGAAATGGTATATGCTTGACCTTGCGTTAGAAATAGGTAATGGTTTATGCCTTAAAATGCGTGACTGCGGAGAAGGGGGTTAATACTTATAAAAGATGGTAATCTTGTTGTATATTAATGAGAACTTAAATCAAGAAAACCAATTTATAGGCAGAGTAGAAATGTACGAAAGCAAAACCTCTTCACAAGTATCGTCATTCCAACCTTAGTGTTGTGTACAGAGTTTAGCAAGTTGAATACACATGAAATGTACTCACTTTTTGAAAACAGGGCACCACATATACATGTCGATAGGAACACACCCTCCCGATATTCAATCCCAGGGCTTACTGGATATTTTTTTTCACAAATCATATTCATTACACTAACTCATCATGTTTACACTAGGAAAAAATCGAAAAAAAACCATGAAAATAATCGTTCCACCAAAAACACCCCACTACAAGTATACATTATTAGATGCAAATCCGGCTTGTTTACGTTGTACCCCACCGATCTTTCTGTGTTAAAAATCAAGTATTTCTTTAAAATAGGAACCTTTCCATACATGGAAAAGGGATTTTCCTTTCTGTTCAGAATTTTTTTAAAATATTTCCTCTCAGGCCATTTTGACACTTTGTATATTGATTTTTTAATATACCGGAACTATTCATTTTTTACAATCGCTACTCTCTGGGTTTTACAAGAGATGTTTAAAAAGACATTCGGATTGACCTATATTGTTTAACACCTTCAAATATCTGATTATTTTACGAAGGAGCGTACATGTATATTGATTTTTTAAAAAATTCAAATAAATTTCAAAGTTAAATTAAACAAAGGATGCTTGGTATTAAAATATTATTTCAAATCAGTAGAATCGAATGCTATTAACGACATCTGAATAAATAGGCTATAAAAGGCTTATATGCCAACTTTGGTCATCTGCACTTTAATTTTAAACACGACAGGATTTGTAATTTTTTCTGTATAAATTAATAATTTCTATATGCTTTGGAAACTCAAATGAAATATTTTAATACACTTGCCTCGAGCTCTTTTCTGCAGTTTTCCTGAAATTTTATGTGGGTCCGAGGTGTTATTTGAGTTTAACAGTGATTCTCTACGTTGCCATTAATTTGATTTGTTTGTGTGTTGGGGGGAGGGATGGGGGTTATTTTTATTCTTAACCTATTTAACGTTGGAGTTGAATCTTGTATCTTATTCCAAGAACTTAAGATTGATTGTGACATTTGGATGAAAGGTCAAGGTCATTAAAAACCACCACCTCTTCAACTTCTAACCTGTCAACCGAAATAAACTCTGAAAGGTGTTTCTAGATACATGTACATGTACTTCATGTTTTTTTTTACCCTTGGGTCAAGGACAAAGGTTAAGGTCGATTTCAAGTTCATAGGTCAAGGTGATTTTGGTAAATAGTTAATATCAACATTTTATTCAGGTTACCAGTGACCTTGACCTAAGTTTCAAGGTCAAGGGTAAAAAGATCTGCATGCTTCAGTATGTTACATGTCTTGACATTTAGAAGTTCTTAATTCTGCATGAACATCAAACACTCAAGTATACTGTCTTTTAATACATTGTGTGCGGTCGCATGTGCATGCACGTCCATGTATTTACTTTTGATAGTAGTATAATGTAGGCAATCATTATATCTATTCATATTTGAAATTTCACCCTGTATTATTGAGAACCAAGAAAGTTGTAGGCATTTAAAGTTTTAGCCAATCAGATTGCAGCACACGTGCATGTGCGTGCGTTCATGATTATTCTTATATATCATGCTGTAGATCTTCATAATGTAAGACTATGTTCAAAATTTCAAAGGATTTTGTCAGAAAACAAAATAGATATTTAGACTTTAAGTTTCAGCCAATCGCAGCGAAGGGCACCTGCATGCGCGTGAGATCTTGCTATTTTGACCATGTCATCATGTCTATACTACTATTATATCCTTATATTATGAGTTTCAAAGCATTTCATCCAATATTTAAAAAGTTACGGCTAAATCTATTATATTGGTCATTTCACGTGTTACACGTGCGCGCACCTGCACACACGTGCGCGCAAAATGACCTTCGTTCCGCACATCTACATAACATACCTAGTGACCCTAAAAAGGTTTCACCTAGATCGGATGAGTAGTTTACGAGAACACTCGCGGACAAAAAAGTACCGGAGAACAAAGAAAAAATTCAGAAAAAGTAAAAACAATATGTTCCCAAACTTCGTTTGGGGAACATAATAAGGAGACTAATTGTTCAGATTACAATTTTGATTTTAATTCAGATAACAATATGAAGTCTTTTCACCTTCTTGAGTGTTTTCATATCATTTGGCTTCAAGAAAAGAAGTTAAAAGCAAAAAAATTAATAAAACAGCAAAATTCTAATTTTCTACTACCGTGTTTTTAAGATCGGGCTCGGGGTTGGTTATATTCAATAGTAGTTCCATACATGGAAAAGGGATTTTCCTTTCTGTTCAGAATTTTTTTTAATATTTCCTCTCAGGCCATTTTGACAACTCTGATACCTGTGCCTGGTAAATTTTATATACTTTGTAAATAAATATATAAAGGTTTTTTGACCGGAACTATTCATTTTTTCCAATGCATAGGGGGCTACTCTCTGGGTTTTACAAGAGATGTTTAAAAAGAAGTTCGTGTCAGCTAATGTGACCTATATTGTTTAACACCTTCTTATTAATATTTTTTTCATGAATGCAAATATCTGATTATTTTACGAAGGAGCGTACATGTATATTGATTTTTTAATATACCGAAAATCGCTATTTCTGGGGATTGCGTAATTCTAAAAAAAAATTCAAATAAATTTCAAAGGTAAATTAAACAAAGGATGCTTGGTATTAAAATATTATTTCAAATCAGTAGAATCGAATGCTATTAACGACATCTGAATAAATAGGCTATAAAAGGCTTATATGCCAACTTTGGTCATCTGCACTTTAATTTTAAACACGACAGGATTTGTAATTTTTTCTGTATGAATTAATAATTTCTATATACTTTGGAAACTCAAATGAAATATTTTAATACACTTTCCTCGAGCTCTTTTCTGCAGTTTTCCTTAAATTTTATGTGGGTCCGAGGTGTTATTTGAGTTTAACAGTGATTCTCTACGTTGCCATTAATTTGATTTGTTTGTGTGTGTGTGTGTGTGTGGGGGGGGGGGGGTTATTTTTTTTCTTAACCTATTTAACGTTGGAGTTGAATCTTGTATCTTATTCCAAGAACTTAAGATTGATTGTGACATTTGGATGAAAGGTCAAGGTCATTAAAAACCACCACCTCTTTAACTTCTAACCTGTCAACCGAAATAAACTCTGAAAGGTGTTTCTAGATACATGTACATGTACTTCATGTTTCTTTTTACCCTTGGGTCAAGGACAAAGGTTAAGGTCGATTTCAAGTTCATAGGTCAAGGTGATTTTGGTAAATAGTTAATATCAACATTTTATTCAGGTTACCAGTGACCTTGACCTAAGTTTCAAGGTCAAGGGTAAAAAGATGTGCATGCTTCAGTATGTTACATGTCTTGACATTTAGAAGTTCTTAATTCTGCATGAACATCAAACACTCAAGTATACTGTCTTTTAATTACATTGTGTGCGGTCGCATGTGCATGCACGTCCATGTATTTACTTTTGATAGTAGTATAATGTAGGCAATCATTATATCTATTCATATTTGAAATTTCACCCTGTATTATTGAGAACCAAGAAAGTTGTAGGCATTTAAAGTTTTAGCCAATCAGATTGCAGCACACGTGCATGTGCGTGCATTCATGATTATTCTTATATATCATGCTGTAGATCTTCATAATGTAAGACTATGTTCAAAATTTCAAAGGATTTTGTCAGAAAACAAAATAGATATTTAGACTTTAAGTTTCAGCCAATCGCAGCGAAGGGCACCTGCATGCACGTGAGATCTTGCTATTTTGACCTTGTCATCATGTCTATACTACTATTATATCCTTATATTATGAGTTTCAAAGCATTTCATCCAATATTTAAAAAGTTACGGCTAAATCTATTATATTGGTCATTTCACGTGTTACACGTGCGCGCACCTGCACGCACGTGCGCGCAAAATGACCTTCGTTCCGCACATCTACATAACATACCTAGTGACCCTAAAAAGGTTTCACCTAGATCGGATGAGTAGTTTACGAGAACACTCGCGGACAAAAAAGTACCGGAGAACAAAGAAAAAATTCAGAAAAAGTAAAAACAATATGTTCCCAAACTTCGTTTGGGGAACATAATAAGGAGACTAATTGTTCAGATTACAATTTTGATTTTAATTCAGATAACAATATGAAGTCTTTTCACCTTCTTGAGTGTTTTCATATCATTTGGCTTCAAGAAAAGAAGTTAAAAGCAAAAAAATTAATAAAACAGCAAAATTCTAATTTTCTACTACCGTGTTTTTAAGATCGGGCTCGGGGTTGGTTATATTCAATAGTAGTTCCATACATGGAAAAGGGATTTTCCTTTCTGTTCAGAATTTTTTTTAATATTTCCTCTCAGGCCATTTTGACAACTCTGATACCTGTGCCTGGTAAATTTTATATACTTTGTAAATAAATATATAAAGGTTTTTTGACCGGAACTATTCATTTTTCCAATGCATAGGGTGCTACTCTCTGGGTTTTACAAGAGATGTTTAAAAAGAAGTTCGTGTCAGCTAATGTGACCTATATTGTTTAACACCTTCTTATTAATATTTTTTTCATCAATGCAAATATCTGATTATTTTACGAAGGAGCGTACATGTATATTGATTTTTTAATATACCGAAAATCGCTATTTCTGGGGATTGCGTAACTCTAAAAAAAATTCAAATAAATTTCAAAGGTAAATTAAACAAAGGGTGCTTGGTATTAAAATATTATTTCAAATCAGTAGAATCGAATGCTATTAACGACATCTGAATAAATAGGCTATAAAAGGCTTATATGCCAACTTTGGTCATCTGCACTTTAATTTTAAACACGACAGGATTTGTAATTTTTTCTGTATGAATTAATAATTTCTATATACTTTGGAAACTCAAATGAAATATTTTAATACACTTTCCTCGAGCTCTTTTCTGCAGTTTTCCTTAAATTTTATGTGGGTCCGAGGTGTTATTTGAGTTTAACAGTGATTCTCTACGTTGCCATTAATTTGATTTGTTTGTGTGTGTGTGTGGGGGGGGGGTTATTTTTTTTCTTAACCTATTTAACGTTGGAGTTGAATCTTGTATCTTATTCCAAGAACTTAAGATTGATTGTGACATTTGGATGAAAGGTCAAGGTCATTAAAAACCACCACCTCTTTAACTTCTAACCTGTCAACCGAAATAAACTCTGAAAGGTGTTTCTAGATACATGTACATGTACTTCATGTTTCTTTTTACCCTTGGGTCAAGGACAAAGGTTAAGGTCGATTTCAAGTTCATAGGTCAAGGTGATTTTGGTAAATAGTTAATATCAACATTTTATTCAGGTTACCAGTGACCTTGACCTAAGTTTCAAGGTCAAGGGTAAAAAGATGTGCATGCTTCAGTATGTTACATGTCTTGACATTTAGAAGTTCTTAATTCTGCATGAACATCAAACACTCAAGTATACTGTCTTTTAATTACATTGTGTGCGGTCGCATGTGCATGCACGTCCATGTATTTACTTTTGATAGTAGTATAATGTAGGCAATCATTATATCTATTCATATTTGAAATTTCACCCTGTATTATTGAGAACCAAGAAAGTTGTAGGCATTTAAAGTTTTAGCCAATCAGATTGCAGCACACGTGCATGTGCGTGCGTTCATGATTATTCTTATATATCATGCTGTAGATCTTCATAATGTAAGACTATGTTCAAAATTTCAAAGGATTTTGTCAGAAAACAAAATAGATATTTAGACTTTAAGTTTCAGCCAATCGCAGCGAAGGGCACCTGCATGCGCGTGAGATCTTGCTATTTTGACCATGTCATCATGTCTATACTACTATTATATCCTTATATTATGAGTTTCAAAGCATTTCATCCAATATTTAAAAAGTTACGGCTAAATCTATTATATTGGTCATTTCACGTGTTACACGTGCGCGCACCTGCACGCACGTGCGCGCAAAATGACCTTCGTTCCGCACATCTACATAACATACCTAGTGACCCTAAAAAGGTTTCACCTAGATCGGATGAGTAGTTTACGAGAACACTCGCGGACAAAAAAGTACCGGAGAACAAAGAAAAAATTCAGAAAAAGTAAAAACAATATGTTCCCAAACTTCGTTTGGGGAACATAATAAGAAGCATTTGTTATTATTATTTTGACATTTGTTGATTGACTCACATGAGCTAAAATGGGCCTCTTTTTACAGTCATATACTAGAATAAATACACCCAAAATTAAAAATAAATTTGTTTTACAATATGTTATCAGTCAAAAATTTAATTTTCAGGTCCAGAAGTTTTCCCCATTCATTCTTACCCTCACAGGGTGGGAAAGTCAATTACTGGGGGTCATTTCTATAGGGGCTGTCTGAATCCTAATCTCAATGGATTCTACATCTTTGGAGACTTCATGAATGGGTAAGGTATACTGTAACAGAACTTAGAAAAAATAATTGTATTAATTTGATTTGACTTTTATTTTAATTATCTTTATAAAAAACATACTATCTATTCTGGAAAATTCTGCATGTTTTGTTTTTGAAAAATTTTACATGTATAATACTTTTACCTTTCAGTATATATTAATATTTCATTTTTAAAAAGTTCAAACCATTTAAAGGATAAAATTAGTACTGAATTTTATACATTTTTATAGAGAATATTACATATGTAAATTTTTTTTCTGCTACAGCCGATTGTTCCGCCTTCTCCATGACCGCCAAACAAATACCTGGAATAACAAGGAGTTAAACATGTGTGGCCCAGAGATGTGTACCCCACCCCTGATCAATTATTACGAGCCTCATATTCTGTCATTTGGAGAGGATGAAGGAGGTGGGTGATATCAAAATTTTTAGGTCTGGGAAGAGTGGGGGAATGGTGCTAGGGATAAGTGATAGTTTTACATAAAGAGTTGCCACTTATGATGTAAGCAGTCCTTGTGACCCTTTAATCATGTTTTTTCGTACTTTGATCCCCCTCGCAAGGAAAATTTGCAAGCTAAATGTTTTGTTCCCTCCTTTACAGGTGAAGTGTACATGCTGTCTACTGGACGGGCTAGCTCAGCAGACTCCAGTGGAAAAGTCTACAGAATCGTGGACCCAGCGAGGTATATATGTCTAAGAGACTTAGGCATATTACAACAATGTTTCAATTAAAAATTCTAGCTATAATACTTTTGTTCTTTATAACATGCATAGTTATGATCTTCTTTGTTCATTTGCACATTGTTTGTTCTGAATTAGGGTTTCTTGCTTGACTCACCTCCAACCCCATAAAACCCCTTCTTATCTTTTTAGCATTGGAAATAAAAACTGAATCCCTATTTTAATGTTTCTTACATTTTTAGCTCACCTCAATAAAGTTGGGGGAGCTTATATGACACCCTCACCCTCAGCATTGGCATGCAAGTTAATCTTTTGGAGCAGAACTTTATCCTATATTGATTAGAGATGCATGGTTGATACATCACCAGTCAGGTTTCAAATACTGCACTTTTAGCCAAAGAATGACCAGGTTAATATTTTAGCTCACCTGAGCTTTTCTAATCATGAGTTGTCTGCCTTTCTGTCTTCTGTCTATCTGTCCTTTATATATTTTCAACTTCTTCCCAAGAACCACTACCAATTTAAGCAAACTAAGTACAAAATATCCTTTGGTGAAGGGGAGTTTAAGTTATAATAATGAAGGGACAAGCTCCCTTACAAGGGGAGATAATCAAGATAGGACAAATGTAGGATGGGGTCATTAAAAAATCTTCTTCTTGAGAACCACAGGGCCATTGAACCTGAAACTTGTGTGGAAGCATCCTGGGGTGGTATAAATTCTAAATTGATCAATTCACACACCCCAGGGGAGGGTGGGCAGTCAGTGTTAGGGAATCTAGGTCTCGCAATGAAAAATATAGAATAAAAATCTTTAGGAATCTTCTTCTCAAGAACCACTGGGCCAGAAAAGGTGAAACATATGTGAAAACATCCATAGTGATGTAAATACTAAATTGTTCAAATCAGGGCCCATTGGGGTAGGGCGGGGTCCCAATAGGGAATCCAAATTTTACATTGAAATACACATGTATAAAGGGGAAAAAAAATCAAAAATCTTCTCCAGAACCACTGGGACAGAAAAGATGAAACTTATGTGGAAGGAACCTGTGATAGTTATTCAAATCATGACCCATCATGTGGGGTGGGGCAACAATATGTATAACAGAGGGGCATCTGGTAAAAAACGGCATGGCCAAAGTTACTCAGGTGAGGGTTGTGGACCTAGGGCCTCTTGTTTTAAACTAATAATAGGTGTTCCATAATTTTTGATTGGCTAGAGCTAGTTCTTTCAAGTTTCACATGTGTATTCTTTGAGACAAGACCTTTCCTTTGGATAAAAGCATTTTTGTCCTCTTGTCTGATCTTGGAGCATCGCCCATCTTTTTACAATACTGATATATAATTATGGGGTTTAAAAATCATGTTTTTTTAAAAAGAAACAGTAGAGGCTCTTACTTACTGTAACTTGAGGACTTTTTGGTAAAAAACCCAATTTGGATGACTTCTCCAAAGACACAAGACATTGTGCTTAGTACATGTAGTAAAAATAAATATTTTTGAGAAAAGCTAGGCTATGAAATTTATTATTGACAAACAAGTTGATGAAACAAGAATATCAACAGCCTCGTTTAAAGTCATCATGTTGTAAGTTCTCAGGTCGATACAATTACCTTGTCAGCAAATACAATTTTTCATCGAGTCAAATGCTGATTGACTTTTTTCATACTAATTGTTAGTCCATTATTTATACACCAAGGAGCATATGGCGGGTGTGACCAGTTGGCAGGGGATGCTCACTCCTCCATGACACCTGATTCCACCTCTGAAGTTTTGGAGGTCCCTGTTTGCTCTGCTCCTAATTTGTATTGTTTTGTGGACATTGATATTGAATACTGTTTGTTGTCTCCATATCCTTCATGTATACCGGTACTTTGTACCAAAAATGTGAATTATTTCAAGTATAGAGTTATTGTTGCATGGTGCTTTAATTTTATGCTTTATCATATGTATGGGAAATCCTGTCTTTGGTTTGAATCATGACTTCAGACATAATAGTCAGTGCGAAGAGGGAAATGTATGTGCCTCCGCTTGGGATTGAACATTGGACTTCTGGCATACTAGTCCAGTGCTCCATCGATTAAGCTAAAAGGGTTAACCCACTAGCCCATTATAGTAGAAAGCACACACTGTTACCGTCGGCGTCCAGATATTTAGATGAGATGTCGTCACCTCTTTGGGAGTGACAAGGTCATGGGGCGAAATTCTTGGGGCAATAACTTTCACCTGTCAAGAAAACCTGGGTCCACAAATGGCCCCAAATGCAACAAAGACTTGTATACATTTTTGCTTGGGATTGAATCCAGAACCTCTAGCATGCTAGTCCAGTAATTCACTAGTCCAGGATAGACCAACATATTTTTTTCCTGTTTTACAGGGAGCACCGGCCCTAATTTGAGCTATAAATGAAAATAAAAGTCTGTACTTCAAGTTTTATTTTTATTTCTCCCATCAATAGTTTAATCATAGTCACTGAAAACAATAAAAGAAACAAACTTGTGATAGGAAGTTAATGAATCACACAACCACAACATATGCACACGTTCAGGATTCCCATATACAGCTGAACTCTGTTAATAAACATTCTGCTTTATAATGCGCATTTCCTGTCCAAAAAAGTACCAAAAGATTTATTTTTTATACTTACTTGTACTTAAAGTAGGCCATGTTCTTTATGCAACTTGAAAACCTGTATTTGGTCATGGGCATGGAGTTATTAATACTAAAAGCAGGTCTGTATTGCTCCATTATGATCTGTTTCTGGTTGAACTTTTCCTCATAAAAACAATTGGGCTGGGCTGTATAATGTATAAATATATATAAATATATATAGATGACACTTTTATCTGTAGCTCTTTCTTTTGCCTCTTGGCTCTATAGTGATTGGAATAGTGACAAAAAAATCTGCTGGTATATATTCTCAGTATGTTCTTGGAATTAACAAACTTCAAAGTGAAAAAGACTTTAAGAAGATTTTCAAATATTTCGTCCTTGTTTTAAACCTGTAAATTTGTCCTTTAAAAGAAATATATGGCAGAAAAAAAAAAGCTTATTAGATTACCTTATTAATTAGACAATGAAATTGACTGTTAACTAAAATAAATTTATGAGGCACCTCTAAAATTATTTACGGGGTAAGTGAGCAGTCAAGTTCACTATCCCTTTATTACCTTAAAAACAATTTTCTAACAAAGGAGGGAGAGAAAATTGACACTTTGTCAAAATTTAATACCTTTGGAAATCTTTTAAACATGATTGCTTAGGATGAAAATCCTCTAAAGAAAACGAGCATTCAGAGTTATCCCTCTTAGTCAATGGTCATTTCTTCCTTAATACCTTTGGGGTAAAAAATCTTTCTGTATAGACCTTTCTTTCAATTCAGCGACTGTATATCAGCTTTCCATGTGAGACATGATAGGAAAATTGTATTAGGAGTCTGTTCCAAGCAACTGCAAGAATTTAAAAAAAAAATCCACTTTTAAAATCATGCAGACAATATATATATAAGGAATGCCTTTAAAACAAACCTGAGAGGGACTTGCAGGAACACAAACTCCATTCAATGGCAGAAGACATGCTTTCTGTCATGTCTTGTAAGATTGTGCCACTCAACACTCAATTTTTTGACATCTATATGATTGCAAAGTGCATCTTCTGCACAGAATGAAAACCTGCACCTTCTCTCTCAACAGGTGCAATGGAGCACCTGTGTAAGAAATATGCAGTTTTATTTGATTGATGCTTGATATTATCTTGATAACACAATGATTGCTCATGATTACTCAATGAATGCCATTTATTTTATTACACTTAGCGTGTTATGTATTTTATAACAAGTTATTTTAGGAGAGCAGTTTTAGAATCAGGATTAGGGTCGTGACCTTTTCATGATCGGAATTCTATTAAGATAGAAACACTGCATTAATGTATTGCTTTTAAGATCATCCCATGTAAAAAAAGAATTCTTTTTATATATTTTGATATTGATTTCATTGCGCGACTCCCTTTGGAGTCATTACCAGCACTTAGTGTACATCTCTCTTTCTGTTTAATTGTCTTAGAGAATCCTCAACCAGATGAGGCCTTCACAAAAAAAACTTCTATTTATATTTAGTGTTTTATTGTTCAGTATGGAATACTATTGATTATTAAGTTTATATATAGGATATTATATCTATAACTTTGAAGGCAATTAGATTTATTTTGTCATTTGTAGCCATTTTATGTTATATAAAAGCTAAAGCTTTTCACAGCTTGTCTGTCTAAACCATTGCATTATTGTGGATAGTTTAGATAACTGCAGTAACTATTGATTTACCATATTTATAGTTAATGAGATTTTCCTATCTTATCTAGTAATAAAAAAGTTTTTTTTTTTGAACAATAAAAAAGAAAGATTGATCAACTTCTAGGAGAATAAATAAAGTAGATCAAGGCAATTAAGTTATATATTCGTTGTACCTCTTAGCAAATAGTGTCAGACTCAGCATTCAGGAATTGGTTCTACAGTTATTACACCTGAAAATTCATTTACACCTACAATGTATTGCATTGGAAATTATTTAATTAAATTAAAAAAAATAATATCAATTTTCGTTGTATAAAACGAAGTACATGTATCATAAAAGTAATCTGTATAGTTCAGTATCATAAAATTGTATAAGTCATTAAGTGAGGTGGACTAAGACAGTTTTGTCTCTGAAAAATTCATTAAAAACAGCATTTTGAGACTTCTTTAGTTAAATTATGAATTAAAGAGTTATCCTTCCTGGCTGAGGATCGGAGTACCTTAAGCTTAAGATTTACATGATTGCACAATAAATATATTTTTTTTTTTCAGGAGAGGTAACCCTGAGCAATGTGCCTCAGCTAGATTGAGTGGACCCCTCCCAACACCACCCCTCTTCACCACTAGTCTCCCCATTGTAACCCCGCCCACCACCACAACACGGCGTCCAAGCAGGGCCACAAGTACGGCGTCTCCAGTGACCACCACGACTTCGGGCAGAGTTGGTATGTTACGGCATGCATGGGGCACTGCTGTAGCAATTGTGATGGCTTTCTGTCTAAACTCATGATGACATTTTTGTCTACTAATTTTAGATCTGTAACTTGGGACTTTGTTTAAAAAGGGTACATTGATGGTATCTAGAAGTTAGGTTGTAGAACTTTCCTTGTGATAGATATATTTAACAAGTCCCATCTCAATGTAGTTTAAGAACAAGTTGTTGATTTGTATGTAGTTGTTGGTTTACAATGTCTTTTCTAGTCAATCAAAATCAGTATTAGATACCAGGAGATAAAATTATCCCACCCAGTGTATTATTTTACTAATGAATAGCTTGACTTGTCCCCTTTGTGAAATCCAGTGTCTCATAAAGTTTTATTTTTCTACCTAGGCCCGTCCCCTGTGTGAATTCCACCATTTCTAATATTGTTATAATCCACTTTTGTCTTAATAATGTAAGTTTGTTTTTAGCTCTACTGGTCAGAGACCAGAAGAGCTTATGCGATAGTAATGCGTCCGTCGTCCGTCCGTCTGTCTGTCTGTCTGTCCGTCTGTCTGTCTGTAAACAATTTTTCAAAATGCTACTCCTCCTACAGTTTTGGTCTGATTTCAGTATAACTTGGCACACAAGTAGACTACACTAAGATACATAATTCTATATATCGGTTTTTGATTTCGCTGAACGGTGTTGCCGTGGTTACTAAAAATAGAAATTTCTGTGAAATTCTTTCAAAATGCTACTCCTCCTACAGTTTTAGTCTGATTTCAATATAACTTGGCACACAAGTAGACTACAATAAGATACATAATTCTGTATATCGGTTTTTGATTTCGATGAACGGTGTTGCCGTGGTTACTAAAAATAGAAATTTCTGTGAAATTCTTTCAAAATGCTACTCCTTCTACAGTTTTAGTCTGATTTCAGTATAACTTGGCACACAAGTAGACTACAATAAGATACACAATTCTTTGTATCGGTTTTTGATTTCGATGAACGGTGTTGCCGTGGTTACTAAAAATAGAAATTTCTGTGAAATTCTTTCAGAATGCTCCTCCTTCTACAGTTTTAGTCTGATTTCAATATAACTTGGCACACAAGTAGACTACAATAAGATACATAATTCTCTTTATCAGTTTTTGATTTCGATGAACGGTGTTGCTGTGGTTACTAAAAATAGAAATTTCTGTGAAATTCTTTCAAAATGCTACTCCTTCTACAGTTTTAGTCTGATTTCAATATAACTTGGCACACAAGTAGACTACAATAAGATACATAATTCTGTATATCGGTTTTTGATTTCGATGAACGGTGTTGCTGTGGTTATTAAAAATAGAAATTTCTGTGAAATTCTTTCAAAATGCTACTCCAAATACAATTTTAGTCTGATTATAATATAAATGTGGCATGCAAGTAGACTGCACTAAGAACATAAAGAGACTTAATCAAGGATCATTATTCTATTTATTGCTGTTGAAAAGTTTCAATTTCCAACTGCTTAAGTACTTTTCTCTTCCTTTGCTATAAGTACAAACCAGTAGAGCTTCAGTCTCGACAGAGACTTCTGGTTTTACTTATGTTTGGCCTAACTTTGCAGATAATTCATAGGGAACATTCCATAAATCCATCTGTTCGGGTGTTTTTGTCCCCTTGATTTCATTCATACTTCAAACAGGTTCTTTCAGGGATAATGCTTGATAATATTGTTACAATATTTTCTAAGTCAATCATACATGTCTTGTCCAGTTTATATTTTACGTTCCTCCGTGTCTTTATGCTTTACCCATAAAAAGCACATTGCCTCTTACTATTGGATTGTATAAAATCTTTGTTGTCTTCATCAATTTTCAAGTTAAATCACAAGGGGTCTAATGTCGAATGACCTTGACCAAAGGATCTTAAAGGTCAATGACAAAACAGAAATAGTAGACAAAGAAGACATAATTTTTTGTACCCTTTGCACACATTACTCATACCTGATTAATCAAGTGTCTTCGAATATTGAGTGTACGTGCCTTGTCATCCAATAGTACATGTAGTTCTTAATGCAGAGTTAAATTCTCTGTGGGCTCTGTTTCATTTGTAAAATTAATACAGCTGTACCCATAATGTCTTTGGGTAAATGATGTGCCTGAACTCAGGAAACAATCCAACTGTAAAGTCAAGGTCTGTTAAGATCATTGTATAAATTTCATTCTAGGATCTTTTTCCCTGGATTTAATCCTTCTGGTTCAGTCAAAATGGATTACTGAGATTAAATCCATAAAAAAAATATCCATTTTACACTTCTTTTAATTAGGAAATTTCTGGGCTAAGTTCCTCATCTCTCTAGTCACTCATATAAAATTATTCATTAAGATCATGATTATTTTCCAAAAGAAATCTAATTTGTACATAAAATGTAGAAAATTTAAACATACCTTGTGTGTCAAAATTTTACAGAAATAACATTTTCATTATAACAATTCAAAAAGAAAAAAACAGACATTTTTTCTAAGCAGAGTTAACATTCCTTTCAGAGGGTCAATTTACCTTAAAGTTATTATATATCCAGTTGCATGTATATATTATATTTTATGGATCTCTCAGGAAATAGAACACTTTATTGTCTATGCAATTAATGTTTGCAAACTGCATTTATGTGCCACAGTGTCTTAACAGAAGTCCTTTGTAGTAGAAATTGACTTCAAAAGGGATGATGAAAGTGGGGATATAATCTTGATTGTGCTTCTTACTTTCTTGGTAGATAATACAATGCTTGATAATGGATTTTCAAGTATTTTCAGATTATTATATGCACTACAAATATCTAGCTCTGTATATAATCTCATAGATTGAATCTTGAATTAAAATTTTTATGTTTTGGTAACAATTACCCTGTTTGCCCCATCAAGGAAACAAGATGCTTAATACAAACTGGTTTGGAGATGCCAGGTCTTATCAAATTTTCCTTTGGCTAGTTTTTTAGTCAAAAAGATTTTTTTTTTAAACATGGTGAAAGTATACATTTACAAAAATTAATGTTGTATTGCAAGCAGGTCAAAGTATGAATTCTTATATTTCAATGTGAATTTTTGTTGGAGAGAAGTTGATTAAAAACTTTTGATGTTTAATAACTTTTTTTTTAAATAGAAAATGAAACAAATGAAGGTTTGACACTTTGCAAGTACTTGAATAGATCTGCAATTTGAAATCGATTTCACCTTATTAACCTTGATGTTCTTATATATTTACATGTATTATCTACACAATATTTTTGAATTTTTTTTTATGATTAATTTCTTTTGAATATTTTTATACAGGAAAGGTAATTTTGAAAGTTTTTATTGTGTTGCAAACAGTACGGTATGCATGTTGGGGGTATCTTGCAGTTGTATACTAACCAAGATGAGACAAAGGCTTAGTTTATTGTTATATGTTTGTACATGTTTCTACATAAAAAAAAGAGATCTTGTGCTCATATTTTACAAAAGTTTGTAGAACATACATGAAGTATGTTGAAAATGAATTAAATGAAAAGCAATTGACAGGCTTTTATGTATTTTACCAGATGTTTCTTAAGTATTAGCAGAAAGAATCTTTAGAGAAAGAATATCTATTTACAGATGCATTGCATTTTAACAATTTTATGATGAAGCGGGTTTTTTTTTTCTGTGAGAAATTTAAATTTCATATATCTTTTTGATTTCATTCCTCAAAAGTAAATGATAGCCAAAATTTTCTTTGAAGATAATTATATGTACGTATTCAGACCTCGTTTTTTAAGGGACTGTTTACAAATTAATGCAGTGCAGTAAAATTTTCAAAATTGTTCATGGTGTTGTAAAAGAAAACTGAATTTGAAGGAACTTTGCCTTGTGGAAATTAAAAAAAAAAAAAAACTGAAAAATATTTTTTTTGTGGAGAATCAATTCATTGATTAAATTTTAAGGGATACATTTGTACCATTAATAATTGTGTAAATAAAATGCATAATTTTTTACTATCATAATTTATATATTGAATGTTTCTGCTGCAATTATTTGAGTCATTCAGCTTGCCAAGTTGAGAGATTTGAAAACATTTTGTATTTTTTATATCTTATCATTTCCAGTATTATAAGATAATTTGTATTACAAGTACAAATTTTAACTTTTACCCATTTATGCTTTTACTTTTTTGAAAATACCTGTATTTCCCAATATTCATCCCCTTTGTTAAGGTTTTTATTATATATGTAAACAAACAATTTTAATGAATAAAATAAAACCATTAGAAAAGTTTCTGTTTTAGCTTATGGTTAGCAGATATTAATCTAATTTTTATATACCTGTACATGTATTTCAAAACAGATCTAACCATTAATTTAAAACATAATTCATCATTTGCCATGCCATTGGGTGTTTTATATGCTGTTTCCGTGCATCTGTGAAAGTACTTGTATTTATAAAGTAGACTCAAGGTACTTGCTTATATTCATAGGTAGATTTAAATGGCTGCTCGAGAAAGTTAAAAATTTCCTGTTCCTAACATTTTATAATCGATGGTAAGTTGTCAGAATTAGTTTTAGATGAGGGCCTTAGATGGTTGGGGAAAACTGGTTACTGGTAAAATTAGTTTAAAAGGTGTATGGGTCAAGAGTTTTCTTATGAGAATAAAAATGCCTGCCAGTATTCTCTTTAGAGAAGAGAATAGGCTTTCACCTACATCCATGGATATAGGTGAAAGCTTGTCCACTTCTCTATTAAAAGAGAATAGCTTGCCAGGTAACAAACAATCCTACTTTTATATAAGTGTTAATTTAGATTTTTCCATAGATGAAAATCATCCCACTTTTCCAATTCGATGATAATTAATACTAACTTGTTCATGTATTTTTTTTAGAGTAATGTGTGATAAGATTTGTACATGGGTACCAGTCATTGTAATTACTCACTTGGAGAGGTTTTACTTAGTAATTCCTTCAGACTGAAGAAATTTTCAGTATAATGGCTATGTCATTAGCTAGAAAAAAAATTTTTAGCATTTGAATTTCAACCGGATAGAATTTTGTAATTAATGGTTGGCGATTTTTAAAACTTTTCTTTTAATACATAATCATTTTGTTTAAAAGACCTCCATGATAAATATATGCATATCTTACACAAACCTACTTAGTCAGGACCACCTGCAGATTCCAGATTTTTCAAAAAATAAATTATAACTAAATTTTTAAAAATACAAAGTATTGTTTTAAACTCAATGATGAATTTAAAAATGTTTTATTTTGTGGAATATAGTGTGTATATTGAAAAACTTGTCTCAGTTATTATATCTGTGAAATATGAAAGCCTAAGCACCAATCATTCTAAAGTTTTGGCCAAGATTAATCTTTTTTTTTAATTTGGTCAAACTCAAAGGTCAAGGTAAAATGAATGATACCCCCATGATAAGTCCTGTC